AGTTGGAACTAGATGATCTTAAGGTCCTTTCCAACCCTAAGTATTCTATGATTCCATGATAAGCCTGCAGATGCAACAGGACACTGTGGGCAGCTGCCTGAGCTGGCAGGAATTGGTGGCAGGGTGGCTTTGGAGGATATACCCTTCAAATGCTGTGCTTTGGTTCTTCTGGCAAGCTCGTGACTAAATCCGCTCTAAACTGCGTTTTTCGTACAAATTGAAAAAGCTGGGGGTTTTGATTAGGGAGATGATGGTTAAAGCTGGAGCCAGGCTGCAGTGCAAGATTAAACAAAGTAACGGTGTTTTTACCCACACGCTGTGGCTGTGGAAGTCAGTTTTGGGCTGATCCTGCAGAAGTAGGTCATTCACTTTTCCCAGAGTGAGCCTGCCTGAGGTCGGTGTCACCTATGGTACTCAGCCCCCTCAGTGCTACATCTCCATTACTGGAGAATACACCTATAATAAAAGCTGTCTCTGAATGTCCAGGTCCTCCCTTTTTATTCCGCTCCCCCCCTAAGGTTGCTAGCAGTTGACATGATTTCATTCACGTGCAGTGATTAGGAGCTGACATTTTTAAATCTTTTGCCATTTTTGAAAACTGCACCTGCTTTCAGTTATGTTCTCCACAATTTAAACTTGCAGTCGTTTTATGCTCAGATGCAGGAAATGCAGTAATTTAAATATAAGTGCAAGGAAATCCCTAGAAAGGAGAAAGGAACAAATTGCAGGGTAGATTTTTTCGGTTAGTCCTGCCCTCAGAGGAATTCTTTTACTAATAGGAAATAAAAATTATTTGATCTTCTCACTTTTTTAGTGTACAGTTTTCTCACTTCTGTTGTTTTTAATCATAGGTGTCTTTACTTTCCATTGCTTGGTTGTGCTTTTTTTTTTTTTTTAATCATCTCCAGACAAATCGCTGTTATTTTGGTTGAAGTTTCCTTGGCTATTTTGCAACTTAGTGACCTATATATTTCAAAATCCTTTCATCTGTAACATTGTACTGACTCTGCTAGCTGTTCTCCAGCCCTCAGCACATGACTTCAAGATACAATTTACCACTTGAAACTATGAATATGTATTGCCTGTTATTTTTCAGGTATCTGTGCTCCTTTATGGTTAACGGTGGACTTTGTCGTTAATTGTGAATTAGATTGCTGGCTGTGTTGTTACTATAGCATCTACCAAAACTATTTGAGAGCAAGCTAAAGATTGACTTTGGAATGTCATTATAGTACTTACTCATGTATTCTTTTTCACTCTTTTTACATTAATGGATCTGTTGCAGTCTTGCAGCTTGCCTTTCATTAACAGTTTTCAAAAGTCATGCTTTAAAGCAGAGTTAAGCTTCTGAGAATGCTCAAGTGAAGAGATGTACTTTAGTATTTTTAATTGAAATTCTCAGCTATTTTTCCATGTTACTGATTTTTAGGTTCATTCATGGACATTACTTCTACAAACACAAGTAACAAGAGTGATGCTAACATGGAACCAAGTGACTTCCAAGGAGCTTCTACAAATGATACTATTAAACGTTTGGAGTCAAAATTGGCACAACAAATGAAAAATACAGCTAAGCAGCCGGTAAGCCAACATGCAGTTTTGAACCATAGACAAAAGTGCTGTAACATCTTTCAAAAATACAAAATTGGAGCCAGTTAGTTATAAGAAAAGAACATGAAAAGTGATGAAAAGTAGTGAATGATTTCAGAAAGGTAAGCTGGAAGTCTCTAACATCATCTCAAATGAAATAAAAAACCCACTTAATTTTAAAGGGATTCCTTACGTTAAATATATAAAGATATATGTTTGAAAATTACTGCCTTAACTTAGAATGAAAGTATTAGTATAATATGAAAGGATTAAAGTTATATGAATTTTGAAAATACTACGTTTTGTTTTCAAGTGGGATGGAAAAAATACAAAGATTCTTTTGTGACAGTATCAGCCTAATTCTACTTTATTTTTATCTGCATAAAGTTAGACTTTTCAGAACATTGCAGATAGTTGGTTCCTGCAACTAGTAGCTGTATTATTACCATTTATTGAATTATAAATGTTAAATCTTGTCACTTTTAACCAGCACATTATTAGAAATAGATTTTAACCTACATACTGTGCATATGTCATGGAGGGGCTTCTGCAGGTTTTGGTTTTTTTTCTTTTTAAAAATGTAACTTTTGAAACAGGGTGATGCTGGCCGCTTGAGTTTACCCCCATCTCGTGGGAGCAGTGTGGAGAGCTTGTCAGATGTTCGTGCACGACCACAGTCATCCCTTGTTTCAGGAGAAGCCAAAAGGATGAGTGCTGACATGTCTGAAATAGAAGCAAGAATAGCTTCCATCACAGGTAAAATTAAAGGATGTTTGGGAGATAGACTAAGGAATTGGAAGGAGGGAAAGGAGAAAGGAAGATGCAGAATGTGCATACTCATAGAGAATGTAAATACCATTCACTTTACGTGTTGTCTTTATTGTCCTTTATTAATTGTGGGGAAAAATAGCTTCATTCATGGTTGTATGCTTGACAAGGTTGCGTATTTTAATTGGATACTTTTAAGGTTGTGGAAGAGATTACTTTTGCTGAATTAGACTTTCAGCTTTTTAAAAAAAATCATTATGAGACTTCTAAATATCAGTCCTATTTCAAATGCAAAACTTTCTCCTTTGTATCTGAAATCATATTATAGGGTAAATTATTTCTAAAATAACATTTCCTTCAAGGTTATTCCTATAATATTTTGAAATTGAGTTGGGTTTAAAGTTCAGCATGTTCCCAGATAAGTTTTAAAATTCACTTTGACAGATTTTAGGAAAAGAAACATAGTTAAATTTTTTAGTGGCCAGATTAACAAAGTGTCATTATCTTTTGTTTAAAAACAAAACAAAAACTACAGGTGTTTTGCCAGGTTTGCTTCAGATATTTATAAACTGTTGTGTCTAAACATCGAATCCTTGAGTGAATTGGAATTGATGTGTAAGTATAAATACATTCTTTTATGGTGAAAATATTTATTCTTCCCAAAAGAGCAAGTTAATAAAAATGTGTATACTTGGCAAACACTTTCTTGTCTCTTTTCTTCATCAAATATATTGTTTGTTAATCTATGCAAACTCCAGGTGATAAATTTCTTTTATGAAGCTTTTTTTTTCTTTTTTTGTTATGGTATATAACCACAGAATAAGAAACAAAATTTCTTTGGTTAGTCCAGGGTTATTTAGCCGTTCTAGTATTTTCCTACAAATCTGAAAATTATGGTAATCAAGGAGCAGTAATAAGGAAATTTACATCATATTCTAGCTTTCTTGTACACCACAACTGTTCTATTTTTTGTCCGTTGTATTATGATTACTCCAGAATCTTGTTTTACTAAATGCTGAAGTTACTCATTAAATAATATTTGTCTTAGCCTGAAAACACTTTTTACTTTTATGTTCTTATTTTAAAGCCTTATTTCGAGATTTGTCTTTTGTATTGTCAGTCTTTGACTGGATGATTGTGTAGCACATCTCACCATGAATATCTCTAAGGGTTTTCTAACACAGAAGGCAACTGTGTACTTACCTGATAATAACAACATGCTGGTTTTATTTTCAAATGTGTCAGGACTCGCTTTGGTCGCTGACACTCTAAAGTCAATATAAGTTTTTTACCTTAGTGGAGATAACTAGCCCTCCTTTGTGTGAGTTTTTAATTTTCCTGGTTTGTCTTCCTTAAGTACATTGTCCCGAATAGTAATTATTATTTCAGAATCTGCTAAGGTTTGTTCATCTAGTTTAATAACTGTAAGGTTTCTTTTTCTTGAAACAAAATTATATACTGAGCATACTAAATTGAGGGGTTTGGGTTTTTTTTTAAGAAATCGCTTCAGGCCTTAGTGGACTACTAGAAATGAGGTCACACCCATCTGACTATAACTTTTTCAAAAAGAGCTGAAACAGCACTCTTGATTTTGCTTTGTTGGGTTTTTTTTATTCTTGTGAACTGTGTGACAGAAATAATATGCTGTGAACCTGAAAAAAAAAAATTGTGTGGTTGGGAGAGTATTGAGCTGTTGTTAAGAGTAAATCAGATCAAGAATTATTTAATCTTCCTGTTCCATCTATAGCTAAGTGTAAAAGTAAATCAGATAATGCACATAACCAGTACTTAAGTTTGAGATGGATACGCTGCAACGTTCTAACTTTGGGAGATGTATTCAGACTTTTCTCAAAATGGGAACTATTTATCTTAATCTATACAAGTAGTAAAACAAAATAAAAAATGTGTTAGTAGATTTTATTACAGAATAGATGACGTTTCTCGAACATCATTCAAAAATTTAAAGGTTGCTAGTGATACCCAGTTTGCAAAACAAAAAAATCTTCACTAATAGGTCAAAAGAATGGAAGGCAGGAATTATTAAATGTAATTATAGAGTATGCACTTTTGCAGAGACAGATAAGATTTGAAATGAGGTAATCTAAAGAAACAGAAGTACCCAACTCTTAATATTGTTTATAAAATAGTTGGTACCCAACACAAAATAGAAAATGTTAAATAAATTCAGGCAATCAAGAATTTATTCTGAATGTGCAGGTGATCTGAAATAATTTAATATGTTCTCTTTCTGGATAGTTACATTTGGTTTTCCCTTCCTTATTGCCATGCTGCTTTCTGTGTTTGACTTTTGTGTTGCTAACTATAACTAATTACACAGTGTTGTAATGATGGCTAGTTCTGCATTTTTTGCTTTTTAACAGTTGCTTTACTATGTGTAAGCATGAGTGGAAGGCAATGCAGTTTATTCTGCATGACATTTTTGCATGAACTATAGTTTAACCAAGTTTATGAAAAATGCAATATTAGGAATTTAATAATTTTGCTATTGCTATTTTAGTGTTTTGCATGTGTATTGTATATGTGTATTTTTTCAGCCTATTCCAAACCTAAACGAGGCCATCGTAAAACTGCTTCATTTGGCAACATACTGGATGTCCCTGAGATCATCATACCAGGTATCGCAGACCAGGTGAACGGGTCAATTGGTTAAGATGCCGGAATAATGATCAGACTGCTAAAATACTTCTTGCTCCAGTTGCTCTAGGACAGAACTAGGAATTGTCCCAGTAATTTTTTTCAATAATGTCTCTATGAAGAGGAGCATGATATTTCACTATAAACCTACTTTTATCAGGATTCAGTCTTCTAGTTCAGATTTATTTCTATTGATGAATGATTTTTTCCTTTCTGATCTTGTTGTTCAGAGTCATCTTACAGAGCAAAACTATACATGCAGTCTTTTATTACAATACCACAGTTGGTGAAAATGGACTTAGGTTGAAAATTGCCTCTCTGGGTAATTATCTTGCCCTGATTTTTATTGTGTTTAAGCACCCCAATAGAACAATTTAAATACATTACATATAGAACTTCAAATTCACATGAAACTTGTGATTAAATAAGTTGTAATCCATGTAATTCTTATATTTGACTACAATTTTCTAGAGCTAAAATGTGCCTGCATGAGGTATTTCTGTTTTTTTTTTAAGTTAATGCAAACTAGAATTATTAGGAGAGGCTTCTGTCAGGAAGAAAATCAGTGTAATGAGGCACCATAACTGATAATTTAAGTTGGGGCATATATGAATAATTCTTACATATCCCAAGTCTGTATTTAGTTAGCAGCATATCATTTTCATTTTGCATTTTTTTTTTATTATTTTTATAATTAAAGTGGATTTATTTCCTTCAAAGCCTTGAAAATAAATATAATCAGTCCTGAACTGGTATATCATTAGCAGTATGCAACTTGCTTCAGAATTATTTGTCAGAGGCAGGAGATGCAAGTAATACTATCTACCACTAGTCTAGCGATACATTAAAAACTGTAGAAAACCCTATTCTAAATTTGTGTAATCTGAGGAAGTTTCCTTGTAAATCTTGACATTCTTGGGTATTTTAAAGTAGAATGCAAAATACATTTTTTTCCAAAAGTTTATTTTGTAAAACAAGTTTATTTTGTAAATAACTTTATTGAAGTTTACATATAAAGACACAGAATATAAAAAAAAGAAACAAAACAGGTTCCAAAGAGCAATAGTACTACCCATGAAAAGAAAACTTACTTGACATTAAGGCTAACAAATCAGTTAGAAAGTTTACTAGTGTACTAATTTACAGTGTAGCTTTCCACTGTAATTTTCAAACAGTCCTGGCCTGCCATGACATAAAGAAGATCCTAAGAGCAAGGAAAGTGAAGAGATCCATCAAGTTTTGCAGTGCCAACATTTGAGAGCCTTGTAAATAAACTCTAGAAGCTGAGTGTCTCTGGTCTGTGCACAGTCTGCTGCATGTAACAGCACTGAGGCTTCCAATAAACCTTGAAACTTTCAGAAAATAATTAGGAAGTGAAATGGAATGCCATGTTGTTTTCACAAAATAAGCTGTACCGGTTTTACTTACTTAGGCAGAGAAAGTCAATTAGATATTCTTTACCTGGATTATTTTAATTGAATTTGACAAGATGGGAATTCCAAGGTGAATTTGGAAAAAGATACAAGAGAAATAGCAACCTGTAGAAATGAAAGAAGGTATAGGATTGGAGCAAGTATAATAATGAATTTTCTCAAAATTTGCTCTTAAAGTATTTAATTCTTACATAAGCAATAATGAAATTTAATGTTAATGCTTTATCAGAAGCAACTATTCATAAAGAGGAGGACTTCTAGTATCACATACAGTGAATTTTGTTGTGACTGGGGAGAAAAAACAGAAATAGGGTAAAATTCAGGGTCATGCAATGTGGGTCATACACTAGCAACAATTCTTTTAATAAGATAACATGGGACTTTAGCAGATGCATGCAGGTTAATCCCAGGTAGTATAAGTCACTAATGTAATGCAGCTGTGAAAAACTGAAATCTTAGAGTTCATTTCCAGGAAAAATAAGGAAGTCTTAATGCTATTTACAGGCCCTTGTTGAGATTTCATCACAGATTCAACATACTGTTCTGAACAGCCATATGAAAGAAACGTGTGCTCTGAAATATTAGCAAGAAGAGCTACTAGGATGGCATGGACAGTAAAAAGAAGAATGTGAAGGCATAGCTTTTTTAGCCCATAGAATGAAACCTGGGAAATGAATAATTATTTTCTATAGATGAATTTGCAGCCAGAGACTAGGAAGAGAGAACTGCATAAGCTAAGAGACAGTACTGGCACTACAGAAAAGAAAAAAAAAATACATAAATTGTCTGCAGATAAGTGTGGGCTGTATATTTAAAGTTTTCTGGTTGTCGGAACAGCTTTTCCATAAGAATCCCAAGGTTTAAGAGGGTTTAAAGAGGTTAATAGTTATGTGGCAGGGATGTGATCATCAGCCCATTAAATTATATTTTTCTGTATACTTAAAGCAGTTATTAATGAGTACATTACTCAGTTATTCTTTTAGAGACAGTATAGTGTTGCCAGTTTCTCACCTCTCCTTTCCTTACTCTCTCAGCACAAGGCTTTCAGCCTTGGCCTTTTTAACATGCTTTTCCCCTTTTAGTTATACTTCCAAGACCCCCCAGAGAAGCACCTCCATCTCAATCCCACCCTATTAATTTCCTTAGCACTACTGCCACATACCCAGCTCCCCGATCTTCCTTGGGTATGTCTGTTAGTGAAGCAAACAACTTATCTTCCTCCTTGGAGCAGCACAAGTGCCGACCTAATCTCTGCTGCTGCCTGAAGTTCTGCTGAGCACATGGTAAAGCAGCTGCTTCCCAGAGGGGAGGCGCCACACAGGCATGTTACCATGAGTCAGCTGCTTTGGGGCAGGGCTATTTTAGAAGTATGAGTACTACGTCTGCTATCATTGGGGGTTTTCATAATGTGTTGCCTCAGCTGCTTTTCATCCATGAACTGATAGGCTACCAAGGTCATAAAATGCAAATTTTGATCAGTTGAAGGTAAAATGTTGACAGAACTACATTTTTTTAAATATCTATTTGATCTTTTTTCTGTTCACCCTTATTTAAACCTGTTTGGAGCTTCCGTTCATTCAAGATGCTATTTTATGTTACTAGCTTGCGAAACTTAGAAACTGAAAAAGAGATCAACTAATTCTGTTTTGGTGTAAGAACTTGGCAAATGAGTTTTTAGTCGTGGTATTCTACAACCAGACAGCAAAGTGAAGTATCGTCTTTTAGTTGGCTGGTTTTCGGTTTATAGTATATAAAATATATAATATAGATAATAAGAACCAACATTTATATATATATATATATATATATATATGAAAAATAAAAACCCTAGTAAGTACAGAAGGCTTAAGTAGGTGTATGTTTAAAGAAACAGAAAAAAAATCAAGTATAATTTGTAGTATGATAAAAAAAATAATCAGAGCACCTTTTTGATACAAACCAATTAAGCAATATCTTGCAAATAACACCTTCAAGTACAGCCTTTTCTTCACTGGCAACATCAGACATCTCATGCATATAGCATGCACTTGCCATTGTAATTTTGTCATCTGAAGCTGTGCTATGGCATTAAAATTTTTATAGCATTGAGACTGCATAAATGATTACTCAGAATAGACACGTTTTTTGAGTGGCTTTAGAAAGTGGATAGGAATTGCAGATACTTTAGGTCTGTAAATTTTCTGTCTACTTTTAAAATCAATAAAAGCCAGAAATCCCACCTTTGTCTCCCCAGATCACTTCATTCTTCTGGAATTCAGGCCCATGTTTTAACTTTAAAATGTCTTCTGGCACTGTTATGTTCCCTGATCATCCTGCACTGTGAGAGAAGTTTGGATCTTGTAGATGCATAAGGAAGAGAGAGTACTGTGCACAAACAGGAAAGTGTAAAGGGAGACGCAAACATCTGCTAAAGGGCAGGGAGAAGAATTCTTGGCTGGTCTGAATATTTGGCAGGGGGAGTGATCAGAAGCCTTAAGAAGTCATAGAATTTGGTTTCTCTGGAGTACATAGGGCAAGGCAAGGTAGAAGTTTCCTGTTCCTTTTGAATTTCATTGTGGAAAATAGCAGTATGTGAAATGTGTTTGGTTGTTGGGCTTGGGTTTTTTTTTGAGGCCAGGAAATATGTTTATGTTGTTTGATCATCTTTTTTTTGTCATCTTAAACTCCTGTAAACCACTGAAATCCTGTCACAGTGCATCAAGCTACCATATTGTAACTTCTGTGCATTTGCAAATCTCTTATTAGTTTATATAACAAGAAAAAAAAATAAATTTAATTTAAGGAGACATAGAGGTAAAAACAAAATCAAAACTGTGAAAGGAGAGCATAGATAAATAGCAGTGATCATTTTTAGGATTCTGTGATTTCAAATAAAAATGATGTATAATGTTGCAATTGAAATTTGCCTTGAATCTGGAGCAATAAGTATTTGTTGATTCGTAGTCTGTTTCTGCTTTGTCTAAGCTATTTGCCAGATGTCTGCAGTAGTTATACTAATTAAAATGGCATTGCCTAGTAGAGCTTGCTCTTCTCTCATGCTACTAATATGAAGATATTTCATTTAAAGGTATTCATTTATTACAACACAGTAATTTTGGCCCCTCCTTCCCTCCCCTCCCCCGCCCCCAAAGCGTTTCCTTTTCTTTCTTGCACCCCACCCTGATTATTTTAACTTTTTGGCAGCCATGTCTAATATTTCAGCAACACATGTCCTGGGTTCTTTAAATTCACAAATGTTGCTAATCTGAAATGAGAATTTCAGATATTTTTGCAAGCCTATTTCAGCTGAGCTAATTTTATAACAGTGTTGTTGAATGAAATGTGCACATAATTTTGTATCAGTCATGGGTGGATCACCCATATCTTGAATATTGAGATGAGCTGTGGCAGCCAGATGAAGTGTCAACAGCACAGAATTCTATTAAATGTATAGTCTTATTTGCTAAATGATAAGATAATGAAAAAGTTCAGCGCAAATGAACAAGTTCAGAAATTTTTATGTAGGTTTGTCATTCAAACAATCTCCAATATCAAAGTATTATACGTAATATAGACATTGTTGCTTAGGTAAGTATATACTTAGCCTGAATTTCAGAAGCAAAAGATCAAGACCACAGAGAAGTTGCAATTCAGATTTATTTGTAGTCAGGGCAAAGAAATATATTCCTGTTCTAGAATGCTTTTTGATTGTCTCATATGCTTGTTTCTGATAGTACTCTTTAAATTTTAGACTACAAAATGTCGCTACAAATTGTTAAAGTGACACTGAGAATTTTGTATTGCTGGTTTGTAGTAATGTGTTCCTGCATGTAAGAGTATCTATATTTAAAAATTTAAAGTATGATGACATTAGATGTATTGATTGCTATTAAATAGGCTTACATTTTAGTAGTAACTGTTGCAAATCAAAACACCTGTCATGATAGGCTGTGGAGTCATATGGAAGTGATTCCGGATAGGAAGTATCTAAAAGGTTAAAAGTGCGATGCCTGTTAGAGGTGGGTTGTTTGCTGCATGCAGGGTCGCTGGGTGAGGGGCTGCCACGGCTGCAGTACATGTTTCGGATGCTCCCCTCCAGCAGAAAAGTTATGTAATGCAGAGCTAAGAGCAAGAATTTTGAGCATTGTCAGCTGTTACTCAGAAAGTTTTGGTGTTTCCTTTTGGACAGCTGACCTGCTCTCAAGAGGCACTATAAACAATCACCGTAATACAAATCAAAGGAGCAAGGGGGATTCTGTTGCATAATCTCCTTTTATTTTTAAGGAGACTGTTTCCTGGAAATGCCTTTGATTGCGTGTCAGTGTGAAAATATAAACTGTTTTATGTAGCTGTCACTGGTGGATAATTGCTAACAGGTGGAAGGGGAAAAGGAAAAGATTACAGCATTGTGCTCAGTAGGTTGATGGTGAGATGTGATTCAGCCGAGCAGTCCCCTTTTCACACTTCTTGGAGCATGAATATAGGACCTAGAAGGGAGCTAACACCAGAAGGAACAGTTTTCGCTGCTTAAGTTTTGTGAGGGGAGTGGCACACGGGCAGAAGTCATTGATGTGTTCCTTAAGCATGCCAAAGAGCAAGAGGTTAAAGCTGGCAGCCTGTTATCTTTGTGGTCTAGGTTTTAGAAATCCCCATAACGTAACGCACTTGAAATAGATGTCGTCATCAGCTCCTGCCCTGAGTACTAAGCCTGACCAAATACATGTGACAGAAGATGGTGGAGTAGAGTGCAGCAGCTATTCATGTGGTAGGAGTGGTTATTGTATTAGGGTATACTTTTTGTTGACAGGCCAGCATGTTTTGAGTTAAAATTCTGCAGCTGTCTCTCTCTCCCCCTCTCTCACTTTCTCTCTGTGGATTTGTACAAATTCCAAGCTCCTCTGCAACAGTCGCACCCTTCTTATTTTGTTCTGAATAGATTTCACTGGTTTGTTTTTGTTTTGTTTTTTTTTCCCAGCAGGAAACGGACAGCAGAGGCGTAGATCCATTCAAGATCTGAGTGTTGCTGGAACAGAGTCCAGTCAGGTAAGGTCTTTCTTGTCTCTTATCTTTCAGTAGAGTCAACACTGAATCTGTACAGGGAGATTGGTCTGGAAATCTTCACCTTCGATGCTTTCGTAGAAATGATGTGGAAGCTTGGCAGACTGTAATGTCATTTGTATTGTATTTAAATGAGATTCCATGAGGATAATCTAATGAATGAGCTTTAGATGAGAAGTGTTTTCTGTATAGCTCTTACTTTTTTATGTATACATAGTTTTTGTCTACCACTTAATTTGGTGAAGGGCAAATGTTGTGCAGGAAAGCCTCTTCACCTCTCTCCATGTAGGAAACAATTGTAATTGCTACTTACAATTTTCTGAAGCAGTTACACATACATGAGACTCACTTTTTCCATAAAATACAACACATGTACATCATTATTATAAATGTTTTTATTACCAATCTCTGAACCCTGAATTGTAACTTTCACATGAAATTGAGAGATATACTGTAAGGTTTACAGGATGCTGTCACAAAGTTTTGTTTAAAAAAAGACTGTCTCAATAGGATATTTTATAACAACATAACTTCTCATCTGGTATTGTAACTGCCATGGTAACAGACACAGTGGTACAGTTCATAAAATTGAAATTAAACTAAGAACAGTTGAACTAAGAAAACTTTAAATGAGAAAAGTACAGCTAATGCTTCATTCAGATATGTTTATTTTGTGGGGGTTTAATTGCTTTGTTGTCTGTTTCAGTAATTCACAGAGGCTATTTGATCGTTGGTATGAATTGGCAATTTTGAGATCCCTACTGTTATTTAGATGTAGAAAACCAGAGCTTAGAATATTCATCAGGTTAATCGGGTTTCCATGTTAAACAACCTTCTGCAGTAATCTAAAATACCTGATAATTTGGGGGTAAAATACATGTAGTTATCAGGAGATCAACATTTGATCCTCCTTTATTTCTGTGGAGTGTGGTGCCACAGAAACCTCATCAATTCCCCAGGTATTATTAGAATTTACAATGTACAGCTATCAGAAAATAAAGGATTTGTTCTAAACACATTTTAATATCTTCAGAGGGTACAGGTTTGTTAGAAAGAAATGCAACTGCAAAATTTGGTCGAATAGGTTAGCCTATTCAGTTAATTGTAGCACTAAAATTACGGAAGACATAAGAAAAAAAAGTGACAGTACATCAGTTATACCAAATGGCACTGATTGATGTATGAATACATTTAATTATAGCTTTTTTATTCTAAATTTTTCATTCTGTTAATTTTAATGAATAGTTAATATTTTAAAATATATAGTATCAGCATTTACTTTAGATTTTAATAACTATTATCATACTCTTTATTTGAAAGCTATTCTACTGCTTGTCTGGATGTTCTAGCTAAATTGCTCTTGTGACTAGGGGGATGCAGAAAAGGTTTTTTGTTTACCTCACTGAGTTCTGGTGAGGGTCTGTAGAAGTACTAGCATCACATTCTGTTTTCTTGCTTCTGATGTGTACATATTGGAGATCTAAGCATAGGAATTACAGTTACATGCTTCTATCTTGCAGGTTTTGAAACATTCTGATAAAATCTAGAAAACAATATTTTAACAGGCATGAAAAATGCTCTTGGGAAGAAATTCTTGCACTATCTCTATAAACAAATAATGTATTTTCATCCCTTTTTTAGTGTGAGAAGAAATAGAAAAGTCTGCTGAAACTAGTGCTTACTTTTGATGTACATAGGTTTGTATCTTAAAAAAAACGGGAAAAAAATGAAAAGGGCAAGCACAATGTAATTGTGGCAAAATACTTAAGATGACATTTTATGGGTTTTTGTAGCTCTGAACTGCATTGCCTTGAATTTATTAAAAGTCTTGAAATGCCATCCATATAAGCAATCTACTAACCAGAGCAGAAAAAAATGTGAGTAGTGTAGCTCTGGTGAGTTTATCCTGTCTTCCTATACACACCAGACCATATATAGGTTATCCCATCTAATGGAATATCCTCTTCCCCTTCCCTCCCTTCATTGCAAGCATCCTTCTTCCCCTCACTGCGTGCCTCTGCTCCCGCACGCAAGCCTTGTAAGCCCCTGTCATGCTCAACATTAAAAGACTGCAGTGGTGCCACTTTTTTTTTTTTTTAAACTATTTGATTGACACGTGAAAGCTGATCAGAAATCTTTTTGTTAAATGTGATTTTCCTGAAAATTGCTGCTGTGCTGGTAGAGAATGATTCTGTTGTAACCAATTTTTATTTATTTTTTTTTTAATCAGGAAGATTTTTCCAGTTTGGTATGGATTTTTATTTTTTTTTTTTTAAGGTGGAGAAAAACACATAATAATGCCAATAATATACTGCTAATAATAAATAGACCA